GTGGGGGCGCCTGGGTGGCGCAGTCGGTTAAGCGTCCGACTTCAGCCAGGTCACGATCTCGCGGTCCGTGAGTTCGAGCCCCGCGTCGGGCTCTGGGCTGATGGCTCGGAGCCTGGAGCCTGTTTCCGATTCTGTGTCTCCCTCTCTCTCTGCCCCTCCCCCGTTCATGCTCTGTCTCTCTCTGTCCCAAAAATAAATAAACGTTGAAAAAAAAAAAAATTTAAAAAAAAAAAAAAAAGCACCTCATCAGACACTCCATGGGCTTTGTTTTACTACTTAAGACACATACGGGGTGACTATCCAAACCAACATTTTACTAACTTTTAAAATCAGGGGCGCCTGGGTGGCTCAGTCGGTTAAGCATCCGACTTCGGCTGGGGTCATGATCTCACAGTTCGTGAGTTCGAGCCCCACGTCGGGCTCTAGTGCTGACAGCTCGGAGCCTGGAGCCTGCTTCACATTCTGTGTCTCCCTCTCTCTCTGCCCCTTCCCTGCTCATGCTGTGTCTCTCTCTGTCTCAAAAATAAATAAACATTAAAAAAGATTTAAAAAAAAAATCAATGCTCCCTTTGGATAAACAACACAAGGAAAAGTAAACCCATCTCAGGAGAGAGTCTGGCTTCTCCAGGCGAGGGCAGGGGTGGGGGTGGGAGATAATAATACCCTTTTATGTTTTCTGTTTTTCCATAGCCCTGAACGTTCCATCAAGCATTAATTTCTATAACTGGCATGATAAATAAACATAAAATATGATACTTAGTATTCACACTACATATCCCTCCCCTCCCTCCTAGCTGTTGAGAGTCTCCGCTCTTACAGGCCTTAAATGTTGAGTCTCATCAGCCCAATAAATAGAACCATTTAAAATGTAAAATGGTTTTCTGGGGCTTCAAACGACTGAATTGAATTCACTTTTAATGCAGAGGCTCCCAAAAGGACATTACATTCTGACCATTACAGTGTACCAAAAGAACAGAACTCCTATGGTGTAGGTTTCTACAAGTGAAAATCCCGGGGTGACTGGGTGGCTCAATATGTCCGACTTGTGATCTCGGCTCAGGACATGATTTCGCAGTTCGTGACTTAGAGCCCCGCATCGGGCTCTGCAGTGATAGTGTGGAGCCTGGTTGGGATTCTCTCTCATTCTTTCTCTCTCTCTCTCTCTCTCTCTCTCTCCCTCTCTCCCTCCCTCCCTCCCTCTCCCCTGCTGGCTCTCTCTCTCTCTCTCTGAAAACAAATAAATAAAGTTGAAAAAAAAAAAAAGAAAGAAAATCTCATCACTGGTCAGGCCCTGGTTAACCCACCAATCAGAAAGGTCGCCCTGAAAGCATAGTAGTTCTGTGTTTAAGAAAAGATAACCATCCACTGCCAAAGAGAAATTCTGATTTGAAAGAGCTCTGAGGCTAGCTTGAAAGAAATGGTGAAAACTGAGAGATGGGCAGAAAAATTGGTAAATTATATCAGTGAGTTTTTTTCAAGTTTACTTATTTATTTTGAGACAGGGAGACAGAGCAGGGGAGGGGCAGAGAGAGGGAATCCTAAGCAGGCTCTGCACTGTTAGCGCAGACCCCAACGCGGGGCTCAAACTCACAAACTCTGAGATCATGACTTGAGCCGAAATCAAGAGTCGATGCTTAACCCACTGAGCCACCCAGGCGCCCCCGTATTGGTGAATTTTTAAATATCCTTTTGTTTCCAATGCTCCTTACATTCTCCTCTCACTGAGAACACAGACGCCAACAGAAAAGAGCTCCCATAAGAACTCACTGGCACATCTACCTACCGGTGACAATGACCTCCGCCCCCCCCCCCCACCTCAGCTTTTCTCTTGGGTTTCTGAGACCAGCTCTCCCCCCAAACCCATTCACCCACCCAAGGACATGGGTCAGCAAGTCTGCCTTCTTTCCATAAACATAGTTAAGTCTCCTCTAACCCACCACTTCCCTCCCAGCTACCACCCATTTTCCTATTCCTCTGTGCAGCAGTATTCTCAGAAACCATTATCGGGGTGCCTGGGTGGCTCAGTCGGTTAACGGTCCGACTTCGGCTCAGGTCATGATCTTGTGGTTCATGGGTTCAAGCCCCGTGTCAGGATCTGTGTTGACAGCTCAGAGCCTGGAGCCTGCTTCGGATTCTGTGTCTCCCTCTCTCTCTGCCCCTCCCCGCTCATGCTCTGTCTCTCTCTCTCCTTCAAAAATAAACATTAAAAAAAAATTAAAAAAAAAAAAAAAAAAGGAAACCATCATCAACTTCCCGCCTCTAGTTCATCACCTCTCTCTCTCTCTTTTTTTTATAGACTTTACTTTTTAGAGCAGTTTTAGGTTCACAGCAAAACTGAGCTGAAGGTACAGAGAGTTCCCACATACTTCCTGCCCACACATGCGTGGTCTCCCTGGTTATCGGCATCCCCTACCGCAGGAGTACGTTTGATACAATGGATGAACCCACACGGACACATTATCGTCTCCCAGAGCGTCCACAGTTTACAATGGGGTTCACTCTGGGTGTGTGCAGTCTATGGGTTTAGACAACTGTATAATGACTTGTATCCATCATTACAGGGTCACGAAAAATAGTTTTGCTGCCCTAAAACTTCTCCGTGCTCATTCACACCCTGCTACCCAACCCCTGGCAACTGCCGATTTTTTTGATCGTCTCCATAGTTTCGCTTTTTCCAGAATGTCATATAGTTGGAATCCTATGGCACATACTGTCTTCTTTCACTTAGCAGCATGCATTTAAGGTTTTTCCAAGTCTTTTCATGCGTTCGTAGTGCATTAGTGGTGAAGAATATTCCATTCTGGATGGACCACACTTTATTTACTCATCCACCTACCTAAGGAACCCTCTCACTTTCTTTTGAACCTAACTCAGATTGGCCACTTACCCCCACCAACCCACAACCCTGCCATTGCTAAATCCAATGGCGATGTCAGCCTTCACCTACTGACCCATCAGCGGCATCTGAGACCACTACTCACACCTCCTCGCAACGTCTCCATCGTTGATTTCTCGGCCTCCAGGCCACGGCAGTCACCTGGCTTTCCCATGACATCACCAATCACCTCTCAGGCTTTTCATTGGATCCTTCCTCTTTCCGACCTCTGATGTGGCATACCTCACACCCACACATCCAACCGCCTCCTCAGTACCTCCACTGGGCTGGCACACGGGCATCTAAAATTACTGCGTCCCCAGTTGAGCTCTGGGTCTCCCAACCTGCTTCCCTGGGTCTCTCTCTCCAGGTAGTGGCACCTCCGTCTCGCTGTGGCTCATGCCAATAACCCTAGTGATGCTCTGCTCTCTCTTCCACCTACGTCCAACCCCTCAGCCAATCCTATTGGCTCTACCACTAAAGAAGGAAGTCTGGAATCTGACCAATCCTCACCACCTCCCACTCTACGCTCATGGTCCGAGCCACGGAGATCTCTCCCATGATCACAGCACGAGCCCACCGATGGGTCTACCTGATCTGTGCAGCCTCCTGTACTCTGTTCCCCAAACAGCAGCACAGCGAGCTCGGGAAACAAGTCAGATTGTGTTACTTTTCTGCTTCAAATCTTCCAGCAGTGCTCACTCGCTCACAATGAGACCCAAGGCTCTCAGTATGGCTCATATGGTCCTGCATGACAGGACCCACATCGCATCTCTCTAACTTCATCTGCTATTACATCCTGCTGTGTGCCCAGCTCCAGGGACACCGGCCTCAGAGCTCTGTGACAGGCATGCTCCTGACTCAGGGCCTTCGCACATGCTGCCCCTGCTGCCTGGAATGGTCTTTCTTCAATTATCCATTTGGCTGGCTTCCTTAGGGACTCCGGGTCTTTATTCAAAAGCTGTCTCACTCAGAGAAGCCTACAGAAGCCACCTTACGTAAAATATCAATGATCCCCTCAATTCAAACCTTACCTCACCCTTCCCCGCTTTATTTTTCCTTAGCATGTATTTTATTTACTTATATTGATAATACTGTCATTCTTCCCTTCTAGAGTGTATATTCCACGGTGGGCATTTTGGTCTATGTTGTTTCCTGATGTTCCTCAGCACCTAAAAATGTGCCTGGCACAAAAGAGCTGCCCAAAAGGTATTTTACGCTAGTAGTAATGAATGCATGAGTGAATGGGAGAGTAAATGAATTTCCCTTGGCTGAATCAAATCCGTAGCTTAATCTCTAACAAAAACCCAAGTTACTGGGCATTGGTACCTCATTAACATGGTACCGATCACACGGGAAGAAGTTCCAAAATTTCAAATACAAACATACAGCTGTGATGTTACACTGGCTTAAACTTTCCATTTTATCAGCCACTTAAAAGTATGAAAAACAACAAAAACATGATGGTCTTGGAGCCAGGTTCCCTTTGGGCTAGGAGTGTATTTGATCTGTTTATTCCCATATTACAAGCCTAGCAGAGGTCAGCTCACAGTGGGAACTCACAAGATATTTGTGGCTTGGATGAACACTAAATGTGACTTTTATTTTGGTGAGCTGCCATTAGTTATTGAGTGTGCCAGGGTGAATATACCTCAGGGGTGCCCTGCAGGGCCCCTCCCTCCTATGCAGGGCCCCTCCCTCCTATGCAGGTATACAAGTAAAACCTTTCTATGGAAAAGATGATTATCTTTCCATTCAAAGGCTGATCACTGCTATTAGCAGCATTAAAGTGGTTCCTGAAATAGAAAAAAAAAAGGGTATTTACCCAGGTCAGAGATCAGGAGAATTACGTTGCTGAAAAGGCTTTGTACTTGAGACTGGTTTTAGGTTCAAAGCAGAACTGAACAGAAGGTACAGAGAGTTCCCATACACCTCTGGCCCTCACTCATCCACAGCCTCCCTCACTATCTGTCGACACCGCCCACCCCTGTGGTACCTGTTACAACTGACGGACCTACGCTGCAGAGTCCGTATTTCTCTAAGGGCTCACTCGTGGTGCCCCATGATCTATGGGTTTGGACAAATGTATGGTCCCTGGCATCCATTGTTACAGCATCACACAGAGTTAACTTCAGTGTCCTAAAAATCCTCTGTGCTCTCTGCCTGTTTATCCCTCCTCCTACCTCAAGATAATTCCATCTGAAAGAACTGGTCTATACGATGGACAGGTTAGACCAGAGGATAACTTACATTTAATTCTTTTTAATGTTTTTATTTCTTTTTGAGAAAGAGAGAGAGAGACAGAGTACGAGCAGGGGGAGGGTCAGAGAGAGAGGGAGACACAGAATCTGAAGCAGGCTCCAGGCTCTGAGCTGTCTGCACAGAACCCAATGCGGGGCTCGAACCCGTGAACCATGAGATGAGATGAGTTGAGCCAAAGTTCGACACCCAACTGAC